GCTCTCTTCTTTGCCGCCGGTCCGTGCGGGGCGGATGTTGGGGCGCGGTGTGGGGTCCGGGCGGCGGCTGCTTCTCGGGACCCCGGGGTCTCTCAAACCCGCATCTGAGCGCGCGACGTCTGCGGTCGCTTCCGTCCGCGGAGAAGTTTGGGGATATTTCGGGACGCTTATTTCTCTGCTCGATTCGCCGGGAGGGGTTCTCGGAGCCCAACGGAGTCCGACTCCGCTCCCCGCCCCCGCGAGGTGGAGGAAAGAATTGTCCTGTTCCACAAAGTAGGGTGCCGTGTGACACCTCGTCCCGCCCCCACGCAGGGACTTAATTTCCGCGGCCCCCGAAGATGGGAGGAGGGGCTTGATTCATATCCCTTACCGAGAATGGGGTCGAATTCCTCTCGCGGGGCGCTCTCCGCCCCCTCCGTGGGCGCGGCAGGGGCTGCCCCCGAGATGCCTGGGACCAGGTATTGGGTGTCTCGGGGGCGGGGCAGGTCCCTGGGTGCAGCCCCGGTGTCCCAGGAGGCGGCCCTGGCGCGACAATGGGCCGCTCTGATTCCCTGGCCGGCGCTTTGTCGGCGGGAGGGGCCGCAGGCTCCGCCGCTGTCGCATTTTCCCACGAGGGGGGGGGCTGTGTGGCCACCCCCTCCCGCCTCCGCCTCCCGGGCCCCTTCCAAGACTGAACAGCGGGAAGATCCCGGTGCCTGGTTAGAGGTCCCGGCCCTACAGGCTCCCAGGGCACACCTGTGGGGTTTGGGGTGCAGAGTTTGGGAGTCCGCCTGAGTAATCTCTGGTTTCTCTCTTCCTGTTCAGGCATGGACTGGGCGGTCCCTCCCAGTTGGCAGGGTGACTTGCTCACCTGCCACCTAGCCCACCTGCTCCCCTGCTGATGTGCAGCCCCCGGGATTTGCGTGGGCTTCCTGTGCACTGTCCCCAAGCCGCCCCAGTGCCCTGAGGGTCAGGGGCTGGTGGCAGCTCCCACGCCCCGGGTAAGAGGGGAAGGGGGTGCAGCAGCCCGGGCTGACCTCTCTCCTGCCCCTTCCCAGGCCTGCGCTGCTCCCAGCCCGGTGCGACTGCCTGCCAGAACGGCGGGAGGTGTGAAGTGCGCAACGACACAGAGGCCTGCGTGTGAGTAGCCCTGCGGGACCTGTTGCTTTTGTTGGGAGCAGAGCCCCTGCTTTCTGGGGACTGAACACTGGGCCATTGTCTTCTGGTGGCAGCCCATGGCTGGGCGCGGTCACGTGCTGACTTTTATTGGACAAAGTCTGGCAATTACTTAATCACCAGCAATTATGCCGCGTGTGGAACCACTCTGGCTGCCGGAGCTGGCGCACTCCGTGGGCACCTTGGGCTCTCGAGGCAGCACTGGGAGGGAATCCCTGGTGCTCTGTTTCTTCTCCAAGCCCCTGAGAAGCTGTTGACCTTGAGGGGGGTCTGAGGCATTTACAGAGAGGCCCAGTCTCCCACCTGTCACCCAGGACCTCTCCTCTGGGGCAGGTGGGCTTCTTGCCGCTTGATGGAAGGGAAACCTGCTGCTTCAAACCAAGCCCACCCTGGCTTGAGCCTGCGCTCCCCTGGGTCTCAGTGAACCTAGAGAAGTTGAGCTGTTCCTGCTGGCACCACCTGCCTGGGTGATAGGGTATGGGTGTCCTGAGTCTGGTTTCAGCAGCCTTAAATCCCCACCTCCTGACTGGCCAGCAGCCTGCCTGCCTCACTCTCGGGTCCTCAGCTGTGAAAGGGGCAGCATGGGAGGCTGAGGGCCTCGGGGCCATCGTCTCTAGTGTGCGCGGAATCCTGCTGTGATCCAGGCCCTGGCTGGCTGTGGCACAGCCGGCCTGGGGAGGTTTCTTGGTTTCTGTGCTGTGCCAGTGCCCTTCAACTTGAGCTCGCCCTGAGAATACCGAGGAGGTGCCCCAGCCCTGGGCCTCCCCTCCCCTAGAGGCTTCAGACAGAAACGGCAAGAGCCTGGGCAGGCGGCGCACCCTCATTCCAACTGCTGTAGGCCCATCCCCTTGACAACCCCACGCTCCTGCCCTCGCCACCCCAGCCTGGGCAGGCGGACCCTCCCTCCCCAAACTGAAGCCAATTAAGCAGGTCTGGGAGCAGTTTATTGGACAAAGCCGATTGTGTCTTTGTCCACTGCTAATGAATGCACACTGGCTTTTTTTTTTTTTTTT